AGTGATTAAAAGTCATTATAGTGGTTACTTTTGGGGACAGGGAAGGGGTTAAGATTGGGACAGAGCACATGGGGTTACTTTTGGGTACCTGCTCAGTTCTATTTCTTGACTTGAGTAGTGGTTCCAATGGTTTTTCTCTTATTATAATGCAATAAACTACACATTTATTTTGTGTGGTTTTCTTTGAGTGTTTTATTTCATGATAAAGAGATTTTTTTGAAAAACAGCAACCCTAAAATAGAATATCTTTGTTATTTGGCTGAAAGCTAATACAGTACATGCATTTCTTTGAAAGAGATGTTTCTTAAATATGTTGGGTGTTCAGCTGAATATATTTATAATGTTTTCTGAATGCCTGTTTTGTCAAATTATAATATATTAATAGTTGTTGGTCAGATTATTACTTTCCCTTAGTTACTGCTCTTGAAAAATCACTGCAAAAATAGATTTTAATTCTTATGGGAAAAATAATCTTTGTAAGGTTATAATTCCCTATAAATATATTTTATGCAAAATATAATTTGGCAAACAAATTCAGGTGACCTTTTCTGAGTAAGATATCATGAAATTACTACCATACTCAAAGTATTATGAAATCTAAACATCTAAAAAGTTAGAATACCTGCTTAAATACAAAAGTAAGGGAAGAATAAGTTCTTATCATCACATTATTGATGAAGTGAATGAATAAAATACTAGGTTTTAGGAAGATGATAGTAAATTTCCAAAAGGAATATAAAGAGTATGCGGAAATTTAAATGAAAACAACTACCATATTATACATGCTAATCCACATATATACAATTAAAATACATTTTTAATGAATTTACCAATCAAAACTTCTTTTTCTGCACTATTATATATTTTTTCAAAAGAAATTTTTTTTCTTAGACTACATAATTCTTTCTGCTCTGTGCTTCTAATTAAGATATGGACTGTTGTTTAGAGCTCTGTGGTGTGAAATTAGACCAGCGGTTTTCTAATATCCATAAAATAAATTTTAAAATGTTTCTCCTCTGAAAGACAGATAATTCAGTTACAGAGAGCTTATTTCTATGTTTCTTGGTTTTGTTTTGTTTTTTAGGTGCTTGGTAAGCCAATTTTCTACTTAGAATTTACTGTTAAAACTCTCATTTCATTCAGTATGTGGGCTTTATCCTTTTCACAGTCTGTTATGCAAAAAAAGTTGTCTTTAACATATTTTTTTTTAATTTGCTATAAAGCAGTGGTTCTGAATTTGGATGCACATGAGAATCACCTAAGGAACTCGTAAAAGATTACTGATGTTTCCTTCCCTCCAGAGATATTGATGTAACCCGTCTGGGTGGGCCCCTTCTTAAAAGCTCTGCAGATGATTGTAATGTGTTGCCAAAGCTAGAACTATTGCTCTAGGATCCTGCCACTGTTCAAATAGAAGCTTATTATCTTTTCTAACTGAACCTGGATGGGAAATGCTTTTTAAAAATTCTAGTTTAGTAGATCCAAAGATTAAATTTCTTCTCTACAAAGCAGCTGTTTTTTTTAGTTTGAATTTTAGGGTTAAAGAGCATATTGTATCTTTATTCTGATAATTAGTTCAAGAAGTCCCTTGGCTGCTAGTGAAAAAAAATTTAAAGGGATATACCTGAATACTACTTTAATAGACTGGTGGTTTCAGTTCATGATATTCTAAAAAAAAATTTTACACTTCATAAAGATTATTCCTTCACATACCCAAAAAGAAAAATAATTACTGCCCTAGACATTTTTTCCAAAAGATGTTCACATTTTGCATATTGAATTTCACATGAGGTTCTGAAAAAGAAAACTTTACAAATTTTTCCAACAAGTTAAAACTGATAGAATAACTAAAAGTGCCAAATCATAAAACAAAAGCTCTTGTCAAAAATTAATTATATATCTTAATATATAAGGATCAAAAGATCAAAAAGGGGGACATTATGCAATCAGTGGTGAATAAAAAATCATGTGCAAATATCATATGCAACTTTATAAAAGTATATTCAAATACATAAAATGGATAATTTTCTAGAAATACAAATTATGGAAAACAAAAGGAAAAAATGGTATTTCCAAAAAATAAAAAAACCTTTAAAAATGGAATCAGTAATGAAACATCTATCCTCTTGAAAGACACCACACCCAGGCAATTTTATAGGTAAGTATTAACAAACCTTCAAGTATCAGATAATTCCTTTTGGTATTGTTTCAGAGAGGAAAAAAAGTAAAAGCTAGCCAAATCACTCTGACATCAAACCTAGAAAGGATAAGAAAAGAAAGTAAAATTGTGCCCCAATCTGATATTTGAGCACTTTGTGAAGCCTCTTCAATCTGTCCTCCTTAACATTTCTCTAAACAGAATCAATCACCACTCCTCACTGGCTCCCACTATAGCTTACCCATACTCTACCCATATAGCACCATTACCACTTTAATGCACTTACACATTTTCATACTTGTCTCTCATTGGTAGATACTAAGGTCCTTGCAGGCAGGGACAGTTTCGTATTCATACCCCCTGGTATGAAATACAGTGCTTACTCCATGGTCATGTTCAATAGCTGCTGAATGACATGGATATTTCAGGTAGAAATACCATTAATGTGTACACGCAGGGGGGAAATAATGAGTTAGTGTGTAAATTCATTTGGCTAGAACATAGGTTTATATAAGTAAATAACACTGGAAAGGTGAGTCAAGGCCAGTCAGGGTGGGCTTCCCAGTGCTGAAGCTGAGTTTGGTTTCAGCATCTCCTGAAGACTTTTGAGCAGGCAATGCTATATCACATCTGTGTTTCAAGATCCAAATAAGCACTTTTTAGAGATCTCAGGGCCTTGGAGGTTACCTATCTGGATTAAATCTATCATTTTAAAAATAACAAACTAAACCTAGACAGGGAAGATCTAACCAAGGCCACATAACATAAAATTAGCTAGAAGTAGATAGAAGCTTATAAGGAGTAAACTTGATTAAGGTCACACAGTTAATACATGCTGCAACTAACAGGCAAACCCAGGGTTGTTCAACTCCAAAGTCCATTATCTAGATGACATCAGGCAAAGAGGTATATAGACCATATGTACAACCTTTTTAGGACAGTCCTAATTTCATTTAATATACTCATTTCAAATAAAAGAATAAAATATATAACTAAAAGCTGATTTCATTTAGCTTAATCACTTTCAGTCATTTTGATGAAGTCAGCCACTCAATAAGCTTCAAGACTCAAGATCAATAAAATGGTGGGCATGAACAGAAAGTGATTAGGAACACAGCACTTTTTTTTTCTTTTTTTGAGACAGAGGCTCACTCTGTTGGCCAGGCTAGAGTGACGTGGCATTAGCCCAGCTCACAGAAACCTCAAACTTCTGGGCTCAAGCAATCCTTCTGCCTCAGCCTCTCAAGTAGCTGGGACTACAGGCATGTGCCACCATGCCCGGCTAATTTTTTCTATATATATTTTTAGTTTTCCAGCTAATTTCTTTCTATTTTTTTAGTAGAGACAGGGTCTTGCTCTTGCTCAGGCTGGTCTCGAACTCCTGACCTTGAGCGATCCTCCCACCTCAGCCTCCCAGAATGCTAGGATTACAGGAGTGAACCACCACATCCGGCCCACAGCACTTCTTTATCTTCACAAAATCCATACCTAAATGCTACAAGTGATATTAGTCACTGCAACAGAATTGGAAAAGTTCCGAAAAAGGAAACTAGAAAAATCTATAGGCAATTGAGAGCACTCCCAAGGAAGACATAGATACATACATACATCTAATATTAGGACTCTTCAGTCTTAAAAGACAGCCTGAAAGTTAATAAAACCAAAAGAGGTAGATAGGGATAGAGAAAACCTGTTTATCTCAGAATATTAATTCTGAGAAATATTCCTTAAAGACTAAATGATAGATTTAGAGGAAAATATAAGAATATACTATTTTACCCGGGTAAAAGCTTTAAATGGTGGGGTTGGGGGGTGCGGATCTTTTTTTTTTTTTAAAGTTATAAAAAACACAAATAGGGAATTTCATACTCAAAGTACTAGTACAAACTGAAAATACACATAGGCTCACACATATGAATGAATGATCAAACCATTATCAGTAATAGTTAGAGTGAGGATATTGTCCTCACCTCACAGATTAACCCTCTGGTGCTCCTGTCTGAGACAGGATACTAGACTGAGAAGGCCATTGCTCTATTACTCTCCTTACATATTCTTGCCCCAGCAATGGTTTGGCACCACAGGATCTTGCACAAAATAGGCATTTGACTAATGTTTGTTAACTGACTGATGTTTGAAGAGGGTATTGGTAACAGAGCTTTCACAGGCGTGAAATCATGATAAAACAGTAATGACAGTACTAACAATGTTAATAACAAGAATCACAGAAGTGAACAATGATTCAGAGTTCACTATATGTTGGTATTGTTCTGCGGTCCCTTTACCCCTCCATAGAAAAATTGTCTTCCATGAAACTTAGGAACCAGGGCCCATACAGCAGGAGGCTACTGGTAGGTGAGCAAGCAAAGCTTCATCTGTATTTACTGCTACTCCCCATTGCTCGCATTACCACCTGTGCTTCCCCCTTACTCCATCAATGGAAAAACTGTCTTCCATAAACCTGGTTCCTGGTGCCAAAAAGGTTGGGGACCGCTGCTTCATCAATCTTCATTAACTCTATTTTTCAATTAATGAAACTATAGCACATAGAAGTCAGCAATTTGGTCAAGGACAGAGACCTAGGGAGTGGCACAGCTAGCATTTTAACCCAGAAGCCTCTGCTTTTAATCACTACACTATTCTAGAAAGCCCTGGAATTGTCAGAGTATCCTCTAGATATGGTAATTCTTAGGATCTCATTTCATATGTAATTTCCTCTTTTGAATATCTGTAAAAAATTATAAGTTTTAAAAAATTATTCACATCCATTTGGGAACAGAAAAACCAATAATCCTACTTTACTTGTACTTTATTAAAATGTATATATTTGTTTTAGATTTACCTCTAGTCTTCCTTGAGCATAACCCAGGAGCAGCAGATTGGCTCTGTCCTTCTCAGAAGAAATAGGGGTCCATGGCCAAACGTCATCACTGACCAGTGGCCACCAGCAAACAACTATATCCTGAACACAATTAATAGCTAGATGACGTTCTGTTGTCCTGTTTACTGGGCCAGGTATTTCATAATAGGAAATCTAACGATTAAAAAAAAAAGCATATAAGAAACATTTCTTTTAAAACATGCAAAACCCTCAAAGTATTATAAAAATTAAAGCATCTGGAAATGTAGATACATGCAAGTAAATATGCATGTTAAATATGTGCTTAAGAAGGTGTCAGAATTTACCAAATTCTTTTGACACATATATAAAAAAGACATATGTTCAAAATTCTCCCCATTTTTAGCAGTAGGGAAAAGGAGAAATGTGAGTTAGGGAGGAATTGGATGTAGCAATTCCAATCAATACCAAAATGTACAGTCATGGTTGCTTGACAGCATCGACCTACACATAGGATTTAAGACTAGCTGTATTAAATGACAAGTTCAGTACTGCTGACCAAGAGTGTCTGACTACTGTTTAAGACATAACACGTTAACAATGACTGACAACAATAAAAGGAAAAACAACTCGAGGCAAATATCTCTTTAAAGAATATATGAGACATATACACATATATTCTGCATAAAAGGGATAAGCCACAGCATCATGCGTAAAAGTTTATGCAGCTTCTGAGAATTATGCTTCTCTTTCTTAGGAAGGATTTGTAGAATTTATTATTCAAACTATGTTATTTTGGAACATGGTTATTTGAAAACATAAGCACGGCACCATCTGGGTGACACATGCCAAGGAAATATAGATTGCACCGTATTTCTGCTTAAAGAATTAATGGAAGGTTGATAGCTTGGAAGAAAAAAAAAACTATCTTGCCATTGCTGGTCAGCAATAATCGAACCACTTTCTGGGGATTAAGCGCATGGCTAAGCCTACTGGACCAGACACTAGCAAAGGGCAGGGGGTCTTCTTATCAGAGAAATGCTTCTGGAGCCAGTCTCACTACATGACAGATTGCTTTCATATTCCTGTCTGCAAGGCAACAAAGGATGGCAGTAATGCGATAATGCCAGAGTGCAATGGGTGTTAAGAACCCGTTGCATTTATGTATTGTATTTAGTAAATAATCAGGCTCATCCAAATTGTGATCTCACCACTCAACCAAGGCCATTAAAATCAAGGTTAATGCTTTAATAATCCTCTGCTATTTTTTTCAATATGGTCAAAAGGAACCCTTTTCTATTTGCATGGCCATAATATTATTGACCTCTTCATCCTCTGAATGCACATCAAAAGGAACTGAAATCAAAGTAATTACCAGTGTTGTTCTCTCATGGTAAACATTTAACTCCTTGCACTGTCCCTTCTCTGTTAAATAAATTGAACTGGATTTTTAAAATGTAGACAGGAAAACTTGTTAAAGGTGAATAGTTTTAGGATATTTACTCTGCAATATTCTTTGCCAAAATTATGGCAATCTGAAAGAATTATGATACCGCTATAACAAAAAGCAGAACAATACTCTGTACCACTTCCTTGTTTTAAAATCCAAATGGTCAATGACAGACAATATAGATGTACTTAATGCTTTTAAGTGCAAATTCTTATATTTAAGCTCTCAATATCACTATTTTAACTATTTTCTTATTTGAAAGAAATATCACAACGAAATTACTAAGTACTTAAAAATACACATACATTATTTTGATGTCTGACTTGCCATATAAGCATGTTATCTATGAATTTCTCGATGAGGAAACAGAGTTTAAAAAGAGCAATTGAAATTTTCAGTTCTTACATAATACAAATCATGTGTTGTATGTATCTATTATGTTATTTGAAATTTCATGTTTCCTATGAGTTTTAATGTTATCAGTATTCTGTCATGATGACCAAGAGAGCAAGTAAGATGAACAAATCCCTTAAAATATCCTTCTAATGGACAAATGGAAGATTTGACTAAGTATTAAATATCTATATTTTAAATATTAAACCAAGAAATGAAATTCATGGGCTTTTTAAAAGGAAACAGATTACTTTTCTAATGTATAGAAATGAAGTGGAGTGCCCATGTTCCTAATTTCCAAAATCCAAATGTAAAAAGAATAAGCAAGCAATTCCCTTACATAAGGTATAAGGACCCAGATACTAGATTTTCCATATCTTTTCATAAGAAAAGATAACATCCTAACAGTTTTTCTCTGGTCTCATTAACAGGTACTATCCTTCAGTTGAGAAGACTTCACCAAGCTATCTATCAAATAGCTATCACCAAGCTATCTATCAAATCTAAGATGAAGAAAGCAGTCATACAAAATTTTATATATTAGCATCAACATTTACTTTAAATGGTTTGAGTTAATGCATTTTGGTGCATTTTAAAGACCAATATTAGTAAGTAACACTGTTTCAAGTGAATCTACAGTTAGCCATTCTGGAAAATAACAATGCTATAAGAATGCTAATACCAATTTTTTTTTTTTTTTTTGGCTAACCCAATATAATACATGAGTACCTCTAATTTCTAGTTCAAGACAATCAATATTTACAGAAGTTCCACAAAGCTGCCAAATAAACCAGATTGTAGTTTATTACCACAATGAAAAACTATTTAATATATTTTATTCCATGTTAAGATGTTTTTACTAAATAAAACTAAATCCTCCCCACACCACTACTACCTTATTCATAATAAGTAATAATCCCAAAGGGTCAAAGTTTAAGTACTATTTTTCCAAATACACATACAAGTTTCAAGCCGCAGAGCTGGCTTCTAAAACTCCTTGCCCTTGCTATAAATGCTCTAGGTATGGCATAAGTGTGCATCTTTTTTAAGGAAGCTGTATATCAGCTCTGTTCCCAGTGAACAGTGAACTGTCTCAAATCCACGTCACAGAGGCTGGATCAATCTTGCAAACACAAGTCATTGCTGAAAAGAGGCCTTGAACTGAAACAGCCTGGAAAATGTATTAGATACTCATCCTAGCAGAGAGTATGCCTTCCCAGCAGTTAAAATGTAATGTGGCAAAACTTAAATTAAACACATCATTTAAAATAAAAATCCTGCCTTAACAGATGTAAAATCCCTGATATAGTAAGGAAACAAATTACCTGGAGTTAGTGAAGGGAAGAGATACTAACACATGAAGGAGATTTCTTTTTTGCAGTTTCTCCAGTTACATTGGGGGAGGGGTTCTTCCCACTCCTTATTTATTATACTTTTCTATTAAACTTTGAAAGTGCCTTCTTCCTTCTTTCTTTTCTTGTGAAGTGGAAACCAGAGCAGCTATCTTAGCCTAAAAAGATGTTATGGGGTCTCAGGGCAAAATGAGAATGGTATATATACTATCATCAGCAAGAAAACCATTTTTTAAAAGTATAACTTGCCTCTATTATCTGTCTTTGACTTCTAAAGTTATCAACTGCTCCAAACATGTCATTGTAACACTCCCCCCAACCCTGCATAGTGAGAGTGAAAGAGAAAACTTACAATGGCCACTGTTAGCAGTGAAGGAAGCTTAATCTTATAATAATCCTGGTTTTTCTGAAATCCAGAAATGTTCAGGAATAATGAGTATAACATCAAGTCATGTGATATCTAGTATTCCTTAATAATGAATAATATGATGATATAAATTGAAATTTCTACCTTATAATCCAAGGCTGAGAGTTTTTCTGGTCTTTTGTTTACATCAGGAGAATCCATCTTCTTGGTAAACTGAATAAAACATAGTTTGTTTTGTGCCAAAAATGATAAGATGATAAAACTGTCTGTGAGAAGAGCTAAAAAACATGATTTGGTAATACCAAGTTAGAATAATAATAAATGAATAGATTTTTTCCACTGTAATATTATAAAAAGTTACTTTCAGAAGATACATATTAATTGAAATTGCTCAAGTTTCCTAAATATCATGACATTTTACAAAAATATTAAAGATATTAGGAATAAACAATAATCATCAATCTAATCATACGTGGATTTGATATTTTTCTTTTTTGCCTACGACTATTTCAATATACACTGATATTTGGGGACAACCACCAAATAAGATGCATCTGGAACCAAGGCTAGAAAAGCATCAAAGAAAGACCACCCACACCTGAATGTAGAGATGAAAACATTTATTTTTATTTATGCCTAGACTGTAATCCTCTGTTTCTATGACATAAACCAGCTGAGAATACAGTAGATTTATTAGGGGATACTGATTAGTGTTTTCTACCAATCTCAATTTTTCTTATTTAAAAATTTTTTATCAATAACTCTTTTTTGAGAATATATGAGCTGAATGAAATAAAGCATATTATGACCAATATGTATATTACATAAATTGATATTTAATAATGAAGATTAGGCAAATATTTCTATAGCCTTATTTCTAAAGCATACATGTATATAGATAATTAATATTCATGGATTACATAAAAGGTCATTAATGTTACATAAAATTATTGATAAAAACATAGGAATTTGAGAAATGATCTGTATTGTTCCTACCATAAAGAAATTATTAAATGATTTATACATTTTTCTTTACTTCCACACCCCTGGCTGTGCAAACAGTGACCAACAGTGGATCTACACAATTACAGAAGAATCTGGACAACTGCCAAGAAATCACATTGTTATCATGTTCCCATGAGAGTGTATTATTTGGGGTACAAATAAAAGAAGTGAAAAAAGATAACTCAGAGACACAAATACTATTAGAAGTCTCCTTTTAATTCTTATCAAGGAGCATCAATATGACAAAATCATCACAGCCATTATTTTATTTGCAGTGTTAATGAAGGGGTCAATTATTAGACACATGAAAATGAAACCTCTTCCATAGGGAAGCTTCCTTAGCACCGTATTCCTATAAGGAAGGGGACACAGCATGCTTATAATCCTACCCCAGCTTATTATTATCAATAATGTTGCTAATTATAGCCATGCTACAGAAAAGTAGCCATGCTACTTTTCTTTAAGATAATGTGATTGGGTCTCATTTATTCAGAGGTAGCTAGTGAGAGCATACAGCAAAAAGATTTCTTTATTCTCACCTCTGTCCTTTCCACTACCAGGGGTCCTCAAACTCTTTAGACAGGGGGCCAGTTCACTGTCCCTCAGACCGTTGGAGGGCCATTGGAGAGTGCAGCACACATTCCACAGATGGGCACTGTGGGGCCCCGGACGAGTTGGCTGCTAAGCAGGACAGGCAGCGGCGGCAAAAACACCCAGTGGGGCCAGGTAAGGTCCTTGGCAGGCCACATGTGGCCTGTGGGCCGCAGTTTTGAGGACCCCTACACTAGACCATATTTTCCTTTGATTCCTTTTAAGATAGTGACCATTTTCAATCTTTCATGATAATGCAATGTTTCTAGACCTTTTTACCTTGAACAAAAGAACATAATCTAAAAAATTCAGGAGTCAGCATGGTATAGTGAAAAGAAAATGAGCTTTGCAGCCAGAACTTGTGTTCAAATCTCAGCTCAGTCACTTTCTAGCTATATGACTCTGGGCATATTCCTTAGTAGCTCAGCTTCAGTTTCCTTAGGTATAAAAATAGAAATAACTATACCTTCTACAACTGTTTTCTTGAATTAAATGAAATAGGTAGGTTGGCACCCAGCATATGGCTCAATAAATGTCAGTATCCTTCCTATTCGATGATTGGCTTAAAATCTTTTTCTTATGTACTTTATACCAATTATACACTAATTGTAGTGTCACTTAATAGAACTATATTTATCTAGTATATTTGGCACTAATTTTTGACATTTAGAAAATGTAGCCCCAGATCTCTCAAAAGTTAGTGTTCATAAGACTTTAGTAAGATAGAAGGCCAGGTGTGGTGGCTCATGTCTGTAATCCTAGGATTTTGGGAGGGCAAGGCAGGAGGATTGCTTAAGGCCAGGAGTTCGAGAAGACTTTCATAAGAAAGAATCTTCCTATAGGAGCCAAAGCACAATTTTTTTTTTACTAGTGGCTCTGTTGACATAATTGTGTTATTTATTCAAAATTCATCTGGAAATGAAATATATTTGAAATGTCAATAATAGAAGACTAATTTTGAAAGAATGAAAACAAAACCCTATTTAAAAAATATATTCACATTTTATAAGGAAAAGTGAAACATACTCAGAATATAAGCCTAACACTTGACAAGAAGACAAAAACTTTGATGTTAAATATTAGTCAAAACTTGTATTAGTCTCAAGAGTTCTAAGTAGGCTATTACAAGCAATTACTTGTTGTGTTTGCAAGTCCCCAGTGGTAATAATTAGTCTACCTGTTGACACACTATTTCTCCTGTCCCACTGTTAATGTAGGCAATTGATTTGCACATGGGGGTAATTACCATCACTGATGGTGTCTGAGCTGAGCTTCCCCACTAGGCTTCTGTCAATCACCACTTTCTCCAGCTGCGGCCCAGAAAGGCTTAGGGACACCAGCACACCTGAACCAAAGAGGAGCTAAAAGAAGGTAAGGGAGGTGAGGGGAAGGAAAATATGATGAGAATTACAATTTTTAAAAAATCTCTCTCCAAATGTACAATTTATATAGATATTTACATATGCATCTACCCCATGAAATTATAAGGAGTTTTTTCTTCATTGAAAAACAATCACTGACTTCTGAGTAAAATGAGACAGGTGGCTAAATGATGCAACACAGTAAGTGCATTGATTAAAGATACATGCAGAAACCTAATTTAGTCCATGTTTTAGTCTAATATTCTAAATACTTAGAAAGTACCTATGTAGAAATACTGCTTTGTTTTACATTCAGAAAATATAAGGTGTTCTATTAAAATATTTTGAAAGATTACTATTTATATCAGAAACAAAAAGAATATTTCTTGAAGTTTGAATAGTCATTGCTACATGTTAAATATAGAAGAGATGCTGCCATTACAATATAAACAACTAATATTATGATTTATTTGGTATTTAAACCCTACTTACTTCTAAAAATAAAGGTCTTGTCAGTCTAAAATATTAAAATATATGTAAATCAAGGCAATTAAGTAAAATGTTAAATTTTTAAAATCATAAATAAATAACACACCAGAAACAATTTCACAAGGAGAGAGAAAGAAACATAGTAAAGCATCCAGGCTTTATCAATATCAGTGTTCACATAACCACCCAACAAAAGATGATTAAATATCACCATTATAATTTTATACTACTCCTTTCCATTTGTGGCAGCATAATTCATTCATCTCCAAATGTTTAAAACTTCTAAAAGGGCTACGCATATGCGTATGCTTGTTATCTATCAGATTATGAAATATCAACATTGGAAGAAATTGTTTCACCTTCAAGGCAACAGACTCAACGCTGATGAATCATGGAATAGCATATGGTATAAGAAGAAAAAAACCAATTGTCAGTAAACTAATCATGAACATGCTAGCCAAACTCAAAGACAACTACGATTTTAAACAAAACAGGGGAATCCCCCACCCACCTAGGCATCATGTCTCAGCTAGAAAGGATGATTCTATGTTAAGACGTATTTGGACATGTGTGAAAGATGAGCAGCATGAGGGACCAGGGTAATAAAAAGACAGACCACCATTCCTCCACTGCTTAACAGATTCCAGACACATGAATCAGAAAAAAAAAAAAACCCTGAAGGGTCCCTTTGTATATACTGTTAGAACCCTTGTCCTAGTCACCAGGAAGCTTACTTTTACTTGATTTAATGGACTGTTTCATTTCACATTAATGTCTATAAAGGGGTAGGGGGCAGAGGTGGGACTTAATCATCTTTATGAGTTTTGGAGACTAATAATAGAAGGCACATTTGTTTCAAGAACTCAAAATACTTTGCAAATTAATAAATCTCTACCAAATTACATCGAGCCCTATAACATAACTTGATGGCAAATACTGATAGTACCCTTTTGGGAATTCTCCCATTGTAACGTAGCATGTGGTCTTTACTCCCCAAATTCTCCCTTATTCAACAGGCAATTTGGAGGTCATTTTTAAGATCTATTTCTCTCCTTTATGATAGATATTCTGCCTTTCCTACATTATTCAAAACATCTCTAAAATCTGTCCTTTTCTATTTATCTTTGTGTCCCAAAACTTTACACCTATATTCTTAAGCCAGTCTTTCTTAATTACCCACTGACTATTAGCTCCATACAGATACTGGCTAGGCCACATTTATCTTTGTATCTTCAGTACCTAGAATAATGCCAGGTGCTCAAATAATAGGATTCTTTTGGAGAAAGAATCACAACTAACTCATCATAGGATCAGATAATTAATAGTTAGGAAAAAAAACTGGTCTAATCTTCCATTTCCACATGACATGGGTATTCCTTCAAACATCCAGCCCATGCTTGAATACTGCCAGTGATCAGGAGCTCACTACTTCACAGGAGAGTTATCCCATAGTTCTAACTGATTTAAAGATCATTCATTCATTTTTATTCAGCAAAAATTGAATGTTGATTATATACCAAGCACTAAACTAAATTTAATGGTTCAAACAGGAATGAAATATAATTCTTAACATAGGTTAATAAAAAGAGGTAGAGATAAAAGCAAATAAGTGTTATAAAATGCTATTGCCAGTCCTAATGGAGACGTACATACTGAGTAGACCGAGAAGGAAGTACTGACTCTCAAGCTTGAGGTTAAGGCTAAAGCTGCCTTCTTAAAACTTTCACAGTAGTCTCAGTTTTTTCTTCAATAGTACCATCTTCAAATATTCAAAGATTAATAACATAGTGGTTAAGAGCACAGACTCTGAAATCAGAATAAAATCAGCAATGGCTCTACCTCTTACAAGCTGTGTAACATTTAGGGGGTTACTTAACTTCTCTGTACCTTTCATTTTCTCATCTGAAAATAGACATGATAATATCTGCTTTTTAGGATGAGGATTAAATAACTTTTTACCAACAGCATTTACAATAATGTCTGATATACTATGTTTGCAATTATCATTATCATTCAACCATTACTCATATCATGGGTTCTCACTATACTGTTAACTATTTCTGAACACATTCTTTTGTCTTTTTAAAAACCTTGTAACCCAGGTTGGACTCAATATTAGACATGGAACACCAGACTACAGGTGAGTTCTAACTAGTAAAAAGTATAATCTTTTGTCGCCTTTCCCATTTGCTATGATTTCACAAGGACATTGTCTCCAAGATATATGCAAGTTCCTTCAGAACTCTGGAATCTAGTTTTTCCAGGCCTCCAATTTCTTTTCCCTTACTTTCTGTTCTCACCACTACAATCATGAAATAACCTTTATCTCCTAATAAAATCTTTTTCTCTATATGAGCATTTGTTATGTTATAAAATCCTAAAACAACACTTTTGTGGGATGGAGAAGGGAAGTGCAACCAGTGGGAGAAGGTAAAAGAGGCAACTGATGCTGGGAAGGATTCAAAGGGGTGAGTGTCATGGAATCAAAAGCATGCACACATCAAGCAGATAACTGATCTATGCATGAGGACAGAAGTGATCTGGGGGACTATGGATCCTGCCCAGTGAGCCTGGGCACTCCTTCAGAATCTTTCTCAAAGGATACATGCAGCCACTTATTCATACGTTTACTCATTCTTCCCACAAATATATATTTAGTATGCTGTATGAGCTAGGCACTGTTCTAGGTGCTGAGAATACAGCAGTGAACAAAACAGACAATACCCTTTGGAAGCCTTCCCTCATGGAGCTTGATTCAAGTGTGGACACAGACAATAAACAAACAGTTTCAATATAATCTCAGACAATGATAAAAACCATGGAGCAAAAATAAAGCATAGTAAAGATGTGGATTTCAGGAGGATTTCTAATAAAGAAGTAAAAAGGCCTCTCTGAGAAAATGACATTTGAGTATAGACCTAAATAAAGTAAAGGAACAAACCACATAAATATCTAGAGAAAGAGAATTCAAAGAGTTCAGAGAGAACAGCAAATGCAATAACTCTGAGGTCAGAACATGCCTGGGATGATTGAAGAAAGTGAGGCCAATGTTGCTGGAGGGAAGTGAGAGGGATGTTCATAGAGGAAGAAGTTAGAAAGGTAGTCAAGGGTTAGGTTAGGTTGAACCTAGCTTAAGACAAGTCACTGAGTTGTTTTAAGCAGCAGAGAACTACAATATAATTTAAGTTTTAAGCAGGGCAGGAGTCAGGGAAGACTGAAAGCAAGGAGATCATTAGGAGGCTACTGCAGTGGCCAGGTGAGTGAAGATGATGGCTTGGATTAGAATGGTAATGCTGGAGGAAATGGTATGTGGACACATTTGAGAAATATTTTAAAGAGAATCTAATATTTTAAAGAGAATAGAACTTGCTGAAGAATTGGATATGGCATATAAGAGAGACTCAACGGATTCTGGTCTGAGCACCTGAGTTTATTGAGATTGGGAAAAACCAAATTTAGATTATGGAGAATCAAGAGTTTGGTTCTGGACATGTTAAGTTTAAGGTATCTGTGGACATATAAGTGGAGATATCCAGTAAATAATTAGAAATGAGTCTAAAATTCAGGGGGAGTGGGGTTTGAGATATATATTTGGGAGTCATCAATAATATAAAGTTAGTATTTAAAGTCATAAAACTGGACAAGCTCTCCTTAAAAAAAATGACTGAAAAGACAGAAAAAGGTCTAAGATCTGAGACCTGGAGCATTTCAACCCAAAAGATCAGTTTAGTCCTCTTATTGAAACCAATTTTGCACACTTGATAGGATCAGGTATGTCCACCATTTCAGATCTCTAAATGTCCTGTGGGCTACAGGCAACCCTGACACCATATTTTGGAATAAGAATGTATACATAAATTAATAAGCTAATTAACTCATTTTTATAAAACTGCCTGTGGGGAAGCACAAAGTTTCCAAGTACTGGTGCCAAAGATACTACTGGATATGTTTAAGGAGATAACTAGAGTTAGGAAAAAACAGTCTGAAACTCAGGGAAAGAATATTCCAGCCCAGACAGGAAAGTGCTGTTCTCACCTCTGCTGGTTTCCTCAAAGTGGTTAGTCCTCAAGCCCTCCAAAATGCAAACAGTTTGCCTGTGAAGGGTTAGTAGAATAAGAAGGAAAAAGGGCACCAAGACAGTGTGCTATTCCCCTGCAAGAGTTTGGAGGATCCTAGTAGCTAAAAAAATGAAAAAGAAAAGGCAAGGTAGCAAAGGGAGGTACCTCGGAAGCAAATCTGATCTGGAGAAAAGACTGACAGGGTGGACCAATGAGAAGGCCAGTGGGATCTCCCAACACTGTCCTGATTTGAATGTTGTTCTCTGTGCAAGAGACAAAGGTACAAAATGGAAATTGAGGCAAGACAGAAACTGAAACTCTTCCTTTTCTCTGATACTCCTCCAAAGAGAAAGTACCTTCCTTATTCCAGCTCTGACCATGTCTCTTTCTGTTGTCATCATTTTCTCCTTCTCATTGTCTTCAATAAACTCAACCAGAGAGGTGTGCTTTTGC